TTACGCATTACGGTTTGGACGCACAGGTCCACGGCAGCACATGTCAATGTTATATATCGTCCACTAAATGTGCAGGTTGTAATCAAGCCACATTAATTTCAATATGCGTGTGCCTCAGCACTTTTCACTTTGACTACATATGAATATAGGCCTTCAGACACGTTGGCAAACAGGGTCCAGGTGATTCGAGCGGAGCAAGAATAAACGTGAAAGTGTTGGAATTGAGTTAACCCCAGCGGAAAGGTGCGAGTCGGACTTAACTTATATCCTTCCAGCCCTATGCTGGTCAGACGATTTGATTAAAGGAAGAAATCTCTTCTCTCGTTTGAGCTTTTGTTCTCTTTCTAGGGAAAATTACAAATATAGTGAGAAATTAACAATCAAAACCTAAATAACTGAAGGTGTATTTCAGGGGTCCAACAGTTATGCCAACACAGGTTCAAATAGCAGCAAGAAAATTAATTAGATGATTACAAAATTATCTTAAGAATTATAAAGACAATATATATATATATATATATATATATATATATATATAAAATGAAAGAACAGCAAGATATATAATCCGGTGTTCTTATAGATATTTTTATTTTTACAAAATAGTGCTCAATGTAAATTTACAGAGCATTAATATTATAAATTAATTGATTTAAAATATGTTTTTTTTTCGCTACACAGTTCTAACCATGTTTCAAAAATGGAAGCTAAAATCCACGAATTTAATTTTGTGATTAAATTAAAGACATTAGTTCCATTTCATCCTCAAGCGAATTTTGGAGTAACTATTTAAAATTACTGAGTTTTAAATACACAGCTAAAACAAAATTCATGTTTCCAAGGTTACAGATAAATCTATTTTTCTAGACAGGGGTGGCTGGGTTTTCAATATGTCTATAATTTAATGTATCAGTTATTGCTACGTTTGGGTCGTGGGAAGGGATGCATTTTTCAATGAAATCTAATTTCCGTTAAAGCGTCGTCTAGATTTTTTTTAAATTATATTGTTAACGGCTAAAATTCTTACGGCATTTTTCCCCGTATATTTTTCCCCGTATATTACGATTTTTTAAAAATTTTATATTTAAATATTACTAAAGTAAAATTTTCATTTCTCCGATTTAGTAGACTTTATTTATTTATTTTATTACAAATTAAAAGAAGTTTAGGTTAGAATTCATTTTAATTAACTACAGTTTTAATTACAACTTTAAAATATTTTCATTATTAGTTTTTATAGACTATATTTCATTTAATAGAAGTAAAATGTATCCGAGTTACTTACCTTCAGTAAAATTATTTTTCTATATCAAGTATATTTATATTACGATTTTTAAAAATTTTATATTTAAATATTTTTTAAGTAAATTTTTTTTTACCTAAACATATATATATATATACACACACATATATATGTAAGCAAATATATGGATATAGATCCGACAGTATGAAGAAAAATGTATGGAAAAACAAAAATCCGAATATGCAAATATTCTGTTTTAATGTTATTTCAATGTCGACGTCAGACGTTTCGGTCTAGTCGACCTTCTTCAGGACATAGTTATTAAAACATAATTAACATTAGACGATATTCAAGTCAACATGAAAAGACGATGGACATAAGAGTAAGACTAATCAAAACAGAATAAATGAATTTTTTAAGATCAGCGTTCCGTTTCACAATATGATCACGTCGGCGTCACGTGGGCGATGTTGTGAAAACGTATTCTTAAAATAGAGTATATTTTAAATGAAAAATGAAAAAGAATTTTATTTTAATCTAAAATTTATAAGTACATTTATCGAGCATTGAAATATCATTAAAACAGCATATTTGCATATTAAGATTTTTGTTTTTCCATATATTTTTCTTCACACACCCAAATCCAGTTAGGTCAACATTACATTGCGGAAAAAAAAACTTGCTTAGCCCGTGTGGGGCGTGGAAACCTGACAGTGCTTCTGCGGTAGATGTGATATCATCTCGCTTGGAAAACCAAGGCAGGCGAGGCTAATGATGATGACCTGCATTGTAACATATTACGGATTACGGTTTGGACCCAGAGGTCCATGGCAGCACATGTCAATATTATATATCGTCCACTCAATCTGAAGCGTGTAATCAAGTCACATTAATTTAAATATGCGTGTGATTAAGCGCTTTTCACGTTGACTGCATATGAAAGTGGGGCTTCAGACACGTTGGTAAATAGGGTCCCGGTGATTCGACATTCGGACGGAGCAAGAATAACGTGGAAGTGTTCGAATTGAATTAACCCCAGCGGAAAGGTGAGAATCGGATTTCATTTATATCCTTCCAGCCCTATGCTGGTCCGATGATTAGATTAAAGGAAGACATCTCTTCTCTAGTTTAATCTCTCGTTACCTATCTAGGCAAAATTATAAATAAGGCAAAGATTCAAGAATCAAATTGTAATTATTTTTAAGGAGTATTTCGTGGTGGAGGTGTTACCGTTATGCGGACAAAAGTTTAAAAAGCAGCAAGAAGGTGAAGTAGATGGTTACAACATTAGCTTAAATATTATCAAGTATTATTATGTATATATATATATATATATATATATATATATATATATGAAGAAAAATTTGGAAAAAAAAAACAAAAAACTTTAAATGCAATTCTGTTGTTTAAAATGTTAAATTTTTTTTTTTTGTTTTTTACAAATTTTTCTTCATTCTGTCGGATCTATATCCATTTACATTTGCTTATATATATATATATATATATATATATATATATATATATATATATATATATATATATATATATATATGTATAGGTAAAAAAAATTACGCAGTTACGGCCCTTTATATTCATTTGTTTCGTAGATAGAAAATATAAGTATCAACATGTGGGTTACAGAAAGTTAAAAATTTTGGAAAATTTAAGCGAAACTCGTTAAAGTAAAAACGTTTAAAATAAAAGAAAAACAACAAATTATTTTTCTAAGAAAAAAAAAACACTGAAAATCCAATTGTAAGTTACAAAGTTTTAATTCATCTCTGTAAAAAGTCATATATTATAAATAATTATCACTACATTAAATATTATGTGCTCTTTTTTTTCCAATCCTCATTTTAATCTATATATATATATATATATATATATATATTTGAATAAAAGACAGACCACGTTAAGATTCCATGTAATAAGCTATTTCACCATAACCCCTTTAACAGGGTTCTGGATCATCAGACTTTACTTCCAAAAGCTGAAATGAAAAATGAAAAGAAATTCACACGTTTTTTACGGACCTCATCAAGTATAACTTAAGTTAACTTTGCGTATACTTGATTTCAGCTTATGGAAGTAAAGTCTGATGATCCAGAACCCTCTAAAAGGGGTTATGGTGAAATAGCTTATTACATGGAATCTTAACGTAGTCTGTCTTTTATTCAAACATATCTGCTCTGAATTTTACATTGAGCTCTCTGATATCATCTTCCCAGGTCTACCCATACGGATTACCTAAGTTTATATATATATATATATATATATATATATATATATATATATATATATATATATATATATATATGCTGATCAAATATATATATATATATATATATTTTTATATATATATATATATATCTTTCTATCCTCCTTTTTTTTTATTAATTCTCTCTCTCTTCCCTCCTCTCTCTCTCTCTCTCTCTCTCTCTCTCTATATATATATATATATATATATATATATATATATATATATATATATATATATTATAGTAAAAAAGAAAAAATAGTAAGATATAATCCGGTGTCCTTATTGATACTTTTTTATTTTTACAAAACGGTGCTCAATGTAAATTTACAGAGCATAATTATTATAAATTAACTGATTTAAAAATATGGTTCCTTCGCTACACAGGTATTACCATGTTTCAAAAACTGAAACTAACATATCCAAATTCAATTATTTAATTAAATTAAAAGCACTGGTTCTGTTTCATTGAATTTTTAATTTCGTATTAAATTAGGATTTTAAGGTATACTGTATTTATGGATTAAAGTACTCAGTATCCGGGATAGAGTGTATTCAAATATAAAAGTTTACTGTTTCATTCTAAACGCAATCGACATGGTCTAACGATTACATTTAGCATGAAACAGAAAGTCGCCTCCGGGTGTTGACTTCAATGCCCAATTTTATATTAATATACGGGGTGTAACAGGAAGATTGTCTAAATCATGTAAAAACAAAATTATCCACTTAATAGATCAAGTTTTGAACCGTTGTATCATAGAAATGATTAAAGATATCTCACAGGAATTTTTCGATGTTTTTTTAGAATTTTATTGGACTCTACTTTGAGCAATGAGAATGTAAAATTACTCTCCAAGCTTAACAAAAGAATCGTGATGAAATCGATTTTACGTGTTATGATAATAGAAAAAAAAACCTATTGCCAAAGATTAGATCAGGTTGTAAATTCATTAAATTTTTATTTCCTTTATATTGTGTGAGCTGGCTTGAGATTACTCTTAATTTAAACATTTAAAAAACAAAATAATTTTTTTTCTGATTGTCAATTTTCCACGGGAAACTGTCGTAAATGGAGATAAATCTTGATTTTATTGAATTACTTGGCGCTAAATGGAATCTTTCATTGTAAAGTGACATGCAAACAATAAAGTTGATTGTTAAAAGCCAAATGTATCGATGGGCATTACAATAGATAGATAGATAGATAGATAGATAGATAGATAGACAGACATACAGATAGATTGAGATACATAAGGAACAGATTGAGATTTCTATTTGCGCGTATGTGAATATAACACGAGTGCAATTGAAATTTAAATTCCTAGCCGATATCCATTACACCACCCGGATATCCACTCATACAGCACTTGGTATTCTCAACTGGTTACCCATCTAGGTACTGAAGGCTCGATGTTGCTTAACTTCAGTAACCGTACAGGAACTCGATTCTCCGATCAACAATTCAGATTCATTATCTATTACACCACCCACACACCCAAGCTGACAGCACCTGGAATTCCCAAGCGGTTGCCCGTCTAAGTACTGACCAGGATCAACGTTGCTTAACTTCGGTGACCGTACAGGAACTCGACTCTCTGAATATCAATTCCGAGTTATTATCTATTAGACCACCCGGACATCCAAGCTTACAGCACCTGGTATTCCCAAGCGGTCACCCATCTATGTACTGACCAATGTAGACGTTGCTTAACTTCAGTGTTTCAACGTGATATGGTCGTAAGTCTTCCCTGTCATCGAGGAGGATTGCTATTACATAACAGCTCGGCTCTCATTTTTTTTCCAACGGCATTTTTTCCTGTTTCCTAATACTTTGCTTAGCTTTAGGAAGGTGTTGTAGAGTAGTTTTCACAGTGGAGGCTTGTATTTCGCTAAGTCGGTCCTAAAAGGGTCCGACGTACAAAACTTTAGGAACTTGAAATAAGAGTTAATTACGCAGCAATCTAGTTGTGATGGTTGATACTTCAATGTCCGACATCGACTGACTCACTCAACACCACTGAGCCCAACTTGCGACCGCTACTACTACTACTACGTATTATATGTGGGAGAGTTTATTAATAATAGAATAGGTACGTTCAGGTATGACAGAAGGCTTCTTTTGCTATTCGTATGCGACCTCGGATTTCTTTGTCATATTTTTATCACTTTCCAAATAGCTAAACATCTTTTGTTGCTTGATCTGACGTCCCCAGTTTGTAGTTCATAATTTTTAATGTCCGTCTTAACGATCATTCATTGTTTTCGAACTATTGATTATTAGCCCTTTCTTCACGATTAACGTCTTTTTTTTCTTTTCTTTTTTTTTAACTGCGAGGGTGAGCTAATTCTATTGGTGTTTTTTGAACCAATATTATTACAACTTATTGTTCCGCTAAATCCGAAATTAAAGTGAAAAAGCGTTAACGGAGAAATATACGAGACTTTGCAAGTTATACTGAAAGGGAAAACGTCCTTTGGCGAGGATATTTAATCTGTTAAAGATGGAGTATACTTGATCAATGGTGAAATACGAAGGTCTGTACTGAAACACAGCGAAATATGGATTTCATCACACCTCGTAAAGAAATCGAAACGGATATATGTTGTGCGTGGACGTCGTCTCATCCACTTCAGCTACGGATATCCCAAAGAGTAAACAAACCCTACATTTGTAATAATTCCGCTTGCCTATCCTAAAAGAATAATAATGAAATGATTTATCAATAAAAAATAATAAAAGACTATAAAGTTAGCAAGCAATAATAGAGAGACTGCTTCATTTAAAAGGTACTGTAATAGTAAAATGCTTCACCTTCTAAGTAACAATAGTGAGAGGGATTGAAACTAGTAATAAAATAATGGCAGGTAAAATGATCCATTTAAAAGCAACATTATTAAGATGAATTAAAACTAGCACTAAATAATAATAGAAAAATGCTTCATCTAAAAAACAACAAAAAATATGATGAATGAAAATTACTAATAATAAAGGTAATGCTTCACTATTGATTTTATTCGGACTATTGTCCTCATCTTTGTCGCCATATTTATTACAACGTTTCGGCCGTTGTACGCTCCGACCTTCTTCAGATAGCTGGAATATCGAACTGAACACTTTATTTCGCTCACTGGGTTAGACTGTTCTAGTTCCACATGCCATGTTTAATGGATGTCAGTTGTCAGTTATCTCCTGTTAATTCCCATCTCCAAGTTCTCCACTGCCTTAACCGGGTATTGAACTCACACTCTTTGGGTCCTGTCAATGGATCTAACCAACGCCTGTATCCACTGTACCATGTGTCCTTGAGGTAAGATTTGTAAGATTATTTGGTAAAAAAAATAAGCTAATTAGTTGTAATTTAATCAGGAAAATTGGCATTAATTAACCCATAGAGGTCTTGATATGCCGCTAAGCAAAAACAACCAAGCCAGGTTTTTAGCAAAACATATATTACCTACAAATTAAATATCTATAAAGCATAAATTTACCCCGAAAATATAAAATGTACAAAATATTTGTAGTTGAAATCATGAAATTGCGTTCAAAATATTTAGTTTTCGGCATTAAATAACCCATAGAGGTGTTGATGTGCCGCTAAACAAAAACATTCAAACTGAAAACATTCATCTGAAAATGAAATGATTAATGAAACCTATATCTTAATATTTTAGACGTTACCACAAAAGCTGAAGAATGTATTAATTGGACCGTTAGATAAAAGAGCAGGGAATATGAACCTGAAATAAAATTGATAGAATAAGGAAAACACTTCATCTCAGAAATTTCAATAAACTATAGCCGGAAGACAACACCCAGAAGCGACAGTCTGTTTCATGCTAAACGGAATGGTCAGGCCTGATGACTGAGTTTATACTATACCCACACGCATACACACACACACACACACACACACATACATACATACATACATACATACATACATATATATATATTTGGTTGGATAGATGTGAGTTTGTGACCCTGGGTTTCACGCTTTAGCGATCGTCAGACAAACTGATTAATGTTTTAAAAAAATTGGGTTTATGTAGATTGCGTGTATTGGTGTTATTGTGGAAGTGGTGGGGAAATTTCGTCGTTTTGTCATTCATCGTACTAACGCAAACATCGATGTATGCAGACACATACATACTTGGTCGTCCGTCGGGACTCATACATATATATAAACATATGTAGACAGTTTCGACTATGACACATGTATGTATACGGGTGGTGTTATGTCTATACATACGCATTTGTATGTTGAAATTTTGAAATTTAAACATTGGAAGTGTGGCGGAAATGTCTCGTTAATGTCTCGTGAATGTATCCATGTCATATTATGAATTTTTTTTTTTTTTTTTTTTCCGTTGAAAAATATTTTCTCGCATGTATGTATATATGTGTGGTGGGGTTTATGTAAAAATATGATAGGTAAAAATTATTATTATTACACATCTATCCAACCAAATATGTTAGCTCTATCTCTGATATTGAGCACTTTCTAATAAGTACCGCGCATATAATATATAAATAATTATACATATATATATTTATTTATATTTATATACACTTTTCACATATATATATATATATATATATATATATATATATATATATATATATATATATATATATATATCAATCTGTCAGATTGAGAAATAAAATCCATTATCTTATAAAATTACTTTTGTTTACGTATGGATACGATACTGAGCAACCCTGAACAAATTCGAGGAATTTGATACGAGAAGGATTTCGCTTAAAGGCACACTTCAAATTTTGCCTTATCGATGCGGCTTGCTCCGTGACGGAATCTTTTGAAGCATGTCTTATCTAACGATGGTTTTCTTCTGCCCAGAGGGCGGCAGGTTCGAATCCTCCTGGAGAATGCATATTTTTCTTTAATAAGACTTCTCAAATATTTGGTCCGGTAGACGAAAATAATGAACATAATGTTTAATAAATAAATGGGCCGTCTACTCAAATATGAGTATCTGCTAAAAATAACATTTTAAAGTAGTAATATATATATATATATATATATATATATATATATATATATATATGTAGCAGTTCAAGAAAGACGTTTGGATCACTAACACAAAAAAAAGAATGAAAAACATAAAGAAAAAAGTAACTATTTTTAATAATATGTGGAAATCTCCACTTTTTGCCTGATGACGGTCGTGAGACCGGAAACAAATTGTAGCAAAAAAAGCATATGGGAAAAATAAAGTTTGCATAATATAACCTTTTCTTCCTTTTATATATATATATATATATATATATATATATATATATATATATATATATATTTTTGTGTGGGTACTTCAATGTTGTGTAATCTTAATCAAAGAAACGCGTTTCGCTCGGACAATTACAGCTGAGTAGTGAGATCGATCAACATTGGGGGCTCCGTACTTACGACCTTGTGTCACAAGTAAAATACGCTTATAGATCACTGTCATTCCTCAATGGTTACTCCATACTTTCGGCCTTGTGTTGCAATATATATATATATATATATATATATATATATATAAGACATTTTTATATTTATACATTCTTTTTATAGATACAAATATTTAAGTAAATGCTCTGTTTATAATAAACAGAATTAAACAACATTTACCGGCCTGAATGTCCGAGAAATTTTCATAGAAAATATTCGTCCACCGACAGGAATCGAATCTTTTTTCTCTCCGGAACTGTCATATAGCCTGACGTGCCTTTAACCGATTGGGCCACGGAGGAGCGTTCGGTTAGCCAGCTTAAAATTACTATATTTAAACTCCAATCTTCCATGAATCTCTCATGTACATTCATATCTGCTCAAAGCGTATCCAAATGTAAACAAATGGCGTCACACATTATATTAGTCTGACAATTATTTTTTAGACATATGTTTATACATTCTTTTTATAGATTCAAGTATTTAAGTAAATGCTCTGTTTATAATAAACAGTATTAAACAACATTTACCGGCCTGAATGTCCGAGAAATTTTCATAGAAAATATTCGTCCTCTGACAGGAATCGAACCTGTATCCTATACGGAACCGTCGTATCGCCTGAGGTGCCTTTAGCCGAGTGAAAATATATATCGTCCACTCAGTTTGAAGCGTGTAATCAAGTCACATTAATTTAAATATACGTGTGATTAAGGGCTTTTCACGTTGACTGCATATGAAAGTGTGCCTTAAGACATGTCGGTAAACAGGGTCCAGGTGATTCGACATTCGGACGGAGCAAGAAGTACGCGGAAGTGTTCGAATTGAATTAACCCCAGCGGAAAGGTGAGAATCGGATTTCATTTATATCCTTCCAGCCCTATGCTGGTCCGATGATGAAATTAAAGGAAGACATCTCTTCTCTAGTTTAATCTCTCGTTCTCTATCTAGGCAATATTATAAATAAGGTGAGAATTAAACAATAAAAATCTAAATAATTAAAGGTGTATTTCGGGGTTCCTACTGTTATGCCGACACAGGTTCAAAAAACAGCAAGAAGATAACGTAGATGGTTACCACATTATCTTTTAGAATTATATACATACATACACACACACACACACACACACACATATATA